TCTGAATATAATTCACAGTATGAAGATGTAATTGTAATTTAACTGTAACTGGGAAATCTGTTTATTTTTCTTTTGTGGATAATTCAGTTAATACATTTCAAATCAATGGAATTACCAGAATCTGGGGAAGTGCAGTACTGTTTCCAATCATATAACTCATCCTGTATTAAGGAAGTGCGATCTCCAGCTGTGTATGTGGTGATGTATATTTCTGCAGTGGCAGTGGTGATGCTGACAGTGTGTGGAAACCTGGTGGTGATTATTTCTATCTCTCACTTCAAGCAGCTCCACACACCAACCAACTTCCTCCTGCTCTCTCTGGCTGTGGCAGACTTACTAATAGGACTAACCGTGATGCCTTTCCGCTTAAGTGTGTTAATAGAGACATGCTGGTATTTTGGAGAAACGTTTTGTACAATTTACAAAACAGTTCAATATGTTTTCACATCTGTGTCAATTAATAATGTTGTATGCGTCTCTATTGATCGTTATTTTTCTGTTTGTTATCCTTTCCTTTATTCTACAAAAGTTATATTTTACATAACACAGCCAGTTATATCATTTAATTGGTTAATATCTCTGTTATACAATTTGGCACTTGTTTATTTTAATGGAAATATTAGTGGTGATGAACTCAATACTTGTCTTGGAGACTGTTTGTTTGTGATGAGTGAAGCCTGGGGAATAGCTGATTTAATATTTGTATTTATTCTGCCATGTTCTATAATGATTGTCCTCTATGTGAAAATTTTTGTAGTAGCTAGAAGACATGCAAAATTAATCAATACTGTTACAGCACATGCTAATTCTGCAAATGAAAGACAAGGCAAAATTCCTAAGAAATCTGAAACAAAAGCTGCTAAAACATTAGGGATCGTAGTTGTTGTCTTTCTCCTGTGTTTGGTGCCATATTATATCTGCACACTAGTTTATGAAAAAGTCAATATGTCTTCTTCTTCTGTACTTATTAATTGTCTTGTTTTGTTGGCCTGTTTTAATTCTTGTCTCAATCCCATTATTTACGCCCTGTTTTACTCCTGGTTTCAGAAATCCGTGAAATTGATTGTAACACGGAAGATATTTAACCCAGCATCATCTTTGATTAATTTGTTCCCAGAAACCTTGTAAACATAGTGACTCCCTGTCTCAAGTGTCAATTGTATGACTTTACCCATCCCTCTTTTTTTGTCTTTTTACCAGAGATTTGATCATTTTAAAATTCACCATCACATATCAGTAAACAGTGTGAAACGACTCATACTGAATTAAAAATAATATACTGTACATACTTTCTTTTATAAATATTCTGCAATAGAAAGTACCATGTTATACTGTAGTTCCTGCCCTCTGTTTAATAATATCTAAACTTTACAAAAAATATTAACATCATTCTCAAATGTATATGGAGGAAGAGGGCAGATGATGTTATATTGTAGATTGAAACAGTTGAGAAAAATCAAATCCTCTGTCCTTGATATTCTTTCACACTGGCTTTTTACAGCAAGAATGGGAACCCCATGTTTCTATGCCGGTATACTGTAGGTTGATATTTTGATTAGCTACTGACTAACATGTGCAAAAAGAGGTTGTGTGATCTGCTATCTAAATAGTTTGTTCTTTTACGTTATTCAGCTGTAATAAAAGTCAGGGATCCACTGTAGTTGTAGTTGTACTTTATTGGTTTAGAAGATGATTCTAGATAACAGGTCTTCAACAGGTCTTTTTTCCATTTGTCTAATTTAATAATTTATCTTAATGAGTACCTCATCATTGTTAACTTTATATAACTTAATATAAAACATATTTATTTCTTACATTTTTATTTTTAGGTATACTACCCCAGCACTTTTGATTCCTCTAATAAAAGTCAATATTAAACTTGGAATCATAAAAAACATATTCTTCTGGGGTTAAAGAGATTGCAGATTTATTTTTAAAAATTAAAATAATTTTCCTTCATTATTAACTGTGCAAATATCATTATTGTACCATTCCTCAAAAAAGGCTTCTGTTTTTGGACTTTATGTATATTCTATTTAATGACTAACAGCAGCCATATCACCCTGCAACTCACAACTGGCAACCCACTGAAGCTAAGCAGGTGTGAGCCTGGTCAGTACCTGGATGAGAGACCTCCTGGGAAAAACTAAGGTTGCTAACGGTAGAGGTGTTAGTGGGGCCAGCAGGGGGTGCTCATTCTGCAGTCCATGTGGGTCCTAATGCTCCAGTACCGTCTTTCAGATGAGATGTAAAAGTGAGGTCATTTAAAATCCCAGGGTGTTTCTTGAAAAGAGTAGGGGTGTAACCCCAGTGTCCTGGCCAAATTTCCCGTTGGCCCTTTCCAATTATGGCCTCCTAACAATCCCTCTATGAGTTGGCTACATTACTCTGCTCTCCTCCCCACTGATATCTGATGTGTGGGGAGCGTACTGGCGCACTATGGCTGCTGTCACATTATCCAGGTGGGGCTGCACATTGGTGTTGGTGGAGAGCACTTTGAGTGGAGTGTCCAGGAAAGCGCTACATAAGTGTAAGCAATTATTATTAATTATTATTAACATCAATGTGTTGAAAATATATGTTTGCAAAGTTCGCAAAATCAATAAATTTGTTTTTGAAAGGGAATGTTTGATTTCATTACCAGTTTTATAAATGTTCTATGTTAAAAATGTAAGGTTTAACTTTTTTCAGAACACAGTACAGTACAGCAATTTTATGTATACATTAGTTGTCAAATTCAGTATTCACTATATTAGATATTCTATTAAGCTTCTGTGATTTGTTTTTCAAAGAATAACCAATCAATCACCTCTGTCTGGGTCCAGATGTAAAGGCAGACGATCTACACTGGCTGTTTTCAGCCTTTGGTGCACCTTACCCCAGGGGTGTAAAATCTGTAATGTCTGAAAAATTACTTCACAGAATTACTTCACAAAATATCACAGGTTTTGCTGATATTCAGCATTGTTGAATTTCCATATTTAACATATTGCCTTTAAAAAATATAAACATAAATAAACAAAAAAGAGGTCAGATTAAAATATATTTTGAGTTATGATTTGAATGCATCTCTCTACACTACATAAAGTTTTTTTTTATTTAATAAAAGACAGGTTGAATCCAATACTCACACAATACTGTATATACAGTATACAGTAATTGTAACAAATTTTGAGTTTGTGCTACTCCGCTTTTATATGGTTTCACTTAAATACGGATAAAACCACTCATATATGAAAAATTAAAAAAATCTACCACTGAACCAAAGCATAATTTGGACGAGTTAGATTAAAAAACCACAAGAGTTACTTTTCTGTTTTCTCAAAGAGTTTAATGAAAAACTAAAAGCATTTAATTTCCCATTATAACAATCACCACAGCAAATTGTTGTTAGAACAAACACATCCAAACGTTTCCAAATGAATCACAAGTGACTGAAGAATGTTTGCTGGACATTGATGAAGATTGTGGTTACCACCACTCCCACTATATAAATACAGTGTTGTTGAAAGTATTTAGACTATTTAAAAATTCTTAAATGTTGTTGGATTGTTGGATAACAGTTCGTCCCTTTGATGAGGAATGAGGAGCCCGGGACCCCCAGAAAAAAAGTGAGAAGTGGCGAAGGGCTAGCTGCAAACATGGGGATGGAGAAATGTGAAAAAGAGGTATTTCACGTCATGAGAAATTCATGAGACAGGTCATGCTGTAGAATGGCATGTGTATGCTTTACCTGACCACCATGTTCTTATGACTGAACTGCCAGCCCAAGCTCACGATCCAGCATTTTTCTTACATCTCCGCTCAGGTTTTTAATATTCTCCTATACCCAATTTTCCCATATGTATAAATTATTTCACAGAAAAAACAAACTGGATCATTACTGGGGAGGTGGCTCTGTGGTTCAGGATCTGCACCTGTGGTTTGTATCCCGCGGCCGGCAGAGGAATCCTACTCCATTGGGCCCCTGAGTGAGGCCCTTAACCCCAGCTGCTCCAGGGGTGCCGTATAAATGGCTGACCCTGTGCTTTGACCCCCAGCTTCTCTCTCTGTCTGTGTGTCTCATGTAGAGCAAGCTGGGGTCTGTGAAAAGACAAATTCCTAAGACAAGAAATTGTATATGGCCAATAAAGTGATCTTATCTTACTGCAGCAATCACCAGTTCTGATCGATATCTTGGGAAAGGGTCATTCCCTGGGCAGTCTGTTCCATTGAAAGTTGTAAGAACCTATAGGAAAGTTTTATTTTTCTCTTCTGTTAAGGTAGAGAAAAAGAGAGGTGTGCCTTAGCTTGGTCACTAGTGGTGATTTTCTAACTCTAATAGAGACACACTCACTTGAGAATCTTATATTGCTGCTCTTCTGAGTAGAAGGTTTCCATTTGCAAATCTTTAAGGCTGGAAAGCAAGAAATCACCAAGTCTGCCGGGTGTTCTTGTCTTTGTTGGTCTTCACCCAGGTCAGCAGGACATGGTCCGGGATAAACTCCCTGCTGAGCTCTACACACACAGTATCAACAGACATTGTACATCGTATACTATTGTGTTGCAGTACATGAATATAATTATATCATTATTAATTTCTTTAGATACGCGATTCCATATTATATTCCCTATAAATCGAATTCTAAAAGTATGCTTGTTTACTCTGGTATCGAGCATATTCACAGAAAAGCTTAAAGCTGAAATGTGTATAAAAGCAACCACGTTTTATACACATGTTATTTCACATGTTAGTTAAAGAGTTCGATGCTTAAAATGTTTAGGGAGAAATGGAATACTGGTGTGTATTTTTTCTTTAAAGTACCGAGACCAGCCATATACAGTTTACATACTGTAATACTGTATGTTTATGTTCCAAAATTAATATCGTTTATGGCCTTCACTAGCATTATGCTCCTATTCTTTTTATACTCAGCTACTAAAATTTCCCTTCAGCTGTAAAAGTCCATATAAATATTCAGTACTAAAATGGGCACAGTAAAGACATTAAATATACATATACATACTGTATACAGTACAGTTTGCATACAGTAATATGTTTATGTTCCTAAATCAATATCTTTTATGAGCATGTGAAAGGCATGGTGAATCAGAGATTCTCAAAAATTACTGTACTTTGCATGATTGGAAACAAATGCGTGATTGGATCAACAGAATGCTGTGGTGTTACTTTTACAAAGACGGTCAATGAAAAAATAAAATCGTTTAATTTACAAAGACGGTTACAAAGAACGTGAACCAGGCCAATACAGTACTTTGAGTTTGCGGCTTGTCCAAGGTCATTGATTATTAATACTATTAGTAATATCTTCGGTAAAGACTTTGATGGCGACAGCTCAAACATGAGAGGTTGAGATTTATTACCTCCACCTTGCGGAAATTCAGGATACTATTATTTTACTTGCGGTACAATGCGGTACTATGCGAGATTATACGGTATTAATATGGTAACTTGCTTTACACCGCAACAAGCGCTCCACATTATAATGCGGTATCACCCGCTTGTTTTGAATGGCTGCATCTGTAATACCACAGAGTTTCTATGGTCCACTTCACTGCTAGGCATTCCTTCTCCATGATCCCATGATTTCGTTTTCTTGGTAAAAGTTTGTGACTGTGATAATAGGATGGGACGTTAAACATCATCAATTACCTGAGATAGTACAGTGCTGAGTCCCCTTTTGGATGCATCAGTCTGTAAGAAGAACTGACACAAAAATTCTGGCATGCTCAAAATCAGGTTCCTACAGAGGGTTTCTTTCAGGTCTGGTCAGGTTGGCCACTTTGAGGGCAGAACATAGGGTCATGTCAGTCAGAGGGGTCGCACTGCAAAATGTGGGATTTACCACAGATTGTAACCAACCAGTCCCAAAAAGGCTCTCACCTATGTTTTCGTTTTGGGCACTGAGCAGTCTCAGATCTCCCTTTTTTTTGACCTGAGGTCTCACTTGTCCACCCCCTACAATATGACCCAGGTATGAAGCGGAGGAATACCCAAAGAAGCTTTTCGCTGGATTAAAGTGTAAAATATAATGAGGAAAGTGTGGTTTAACAGTGTACTAGGTGAGAGTCTCAATCCTCAAAGAAAATTACCAGGCCATTAAGATATGCAGAGGAGTATGACAGAT